ATTTCAAAGGACCAATTCATACACAATTCAGAAATTCCCCCATTGAGATTGATGCATTCTGTGCTTGAGATGACATTAAAGTAGATCAAAATCACATTAATTCTTCTAAACTGGAATCACAACAAAAAAAACATTGCTGAAACATTTCTCAGAAAAAAAGAATGACAGAACTGTGGGTCAGTCAGTTATATACGATTTAATGGACCAAACTACAATATCTTAATCAGATCAGTCTCTGTATAGTCAGCGAGTTATTTATATACGCAATGACGTGTACATTTTCTGGAACGTACTGAGACTATTTCACTTTTCTGGAGAGAATCACATACAGCAACACAGCTAATAAACCCCCTTTGAAAAAAACAGACTCGGTGCTCAATTATTTCATGGACTTTCGTAGGAGAAATTATGTAATGCAGACAGGTCTTCCATTGAAATGAAGATGCCTTGGTCTGGAAAAGATATTCAGCACACAGCGTCTGTTGTCATTTCTCTGAAAGGAGTGTCAGACTATCAGGTGGAATTCCAAACTGTGCTCCTATTTAAGGTTTCCCTGAAAGCAGTTTTGTTTCAAATGAGGTATGGAAAAAGTGGATTTTGGTTTTTAGTGGAGCAAAAACCACTAAAAGTGGAGCAACAGGGTGAAGGAAGCTGTCCCGTTGTCCTGGTAGTGTTGTGTGTGCTGTAATTACAGCCTTTCATTTATTCAACTGTAATCGGTCCTCCAAAAATTCAATCTACATTCTGTTTCTGCCGATTTTGTCTCCTTTAACACATTTCGATGAGCTCGCCAATTTGCAAACCCCTAATTCTTCCTGAGCAGCACTGTCGGAGCCACTCCTGCATCCCTGCAGGCTCTCCAGCACACAGTTTCTAGAAGTGCAGTGTGCTTCCTGGGCAAGGTCACCCCTAGGCTACGCTCAAACACCCCTGACACGGGGCTTCAGCACAAACCCAGCGCTGCCGCCTCCCAGGGCAAAAGACAAGAGCACCCCCGCTCCCGGTCGCCCCCGGTCTCCGGTTTCCCTCGCTCGGCCCTGTCGCGCCTCCTGCCACTGTGGCTCTGCCCCTCCCCCTCGTCTGCCACCAGCACGACGCGAGACACTGGTTCGCCGTTCCTGGAAAAGCCGCCTCTCCATCTCGCACCATCTCCGCACGTTCCACGTGAAAACAGACACGCACCACCGTCTGTACTTACAGCTCAGCGCCCCTGGGTCCGTAGCTGGCGCAGAGAGAGAGAGAGGAGCAGGCCTGTGCCCCCCCCTCTTAATCGGGGTAACCAAGCCACTGCAGGAGCCAGAGGTCTCCTGCCCGTCCTACCCAGGGAGCTTTTGCACGCTCAGCCCGAGTGGAGTTCAGGGAGACAGTCTGAACTCTGAGCCTGCTCGGTGCTGCTATTTATTGACCAGAATGTTTGAGCTGTCGACTGTACATTTTCACACTTCTCTTCTCACCCCCCCACCAACACTCCCTAAAAGATCCTGACTGAGCAACACCGAATGCTATGTTCTGCGCTCTGCATTATATCACACGTGTGAACACCTTTTCTGAGCGTGTTGCTGCCTGCCAGCACACACCTTCCGCTGGGGAGCAGAGAGCAAGGCCTTGCGCCTGCTGATCGATGGCTGCAATGACCTGGGGAGGCTGTCGCACTCTTCTGTGTGTGTGTGTGTGCGTGTGTGTGTGTGTGTGTGTGTGTGTGTGATTCAAGCACGTGAAAGAGTAATATGTCCTTGTGCTGGGCAAAGGTTCTAGAAGGGGAGGACTGGGTTACCTTGCATTGCTCACTTCAGATGCAAGCGTTCTTGCGTTTGTTTTGCACTGGTTCAGCAGTGAGGTTTGCACAGCTGGCCTGGTGCTCATATCAGTCACCAGTGCCTTCAATAACTCTTCGCTCCCTGAGCCTGCTGCAACACCGCTCATCGGGTTACAACTGGGTGACGGTACAGTGACAGATCTTTCAAGAGACCTGCAATGCTCGCAGGAAGGCTGTGCTCAATAATCAGACCATGGATCGGGCTTCTTCATTGACTACCTGAACCCGAGCCCCTTTCCTGAACCTGGGAGACAGGCCAATCGAGAGCCAGGCCTGCTCTGTGTCATTCTCCTGGCACGTCAGAAAGCCTTCACGCAGAGCAGCCCACACACACACACTCGCAGGCATTATTGTGTCTGGGTGGCGGGCGCGGAGTCACGTGACCACCTGCACTGTACCCAGCAGCGTTTTCACATTCGACCACAGAGCCGCCACGAACTGGCAAGGCAGTGGCAGGGACTGTGATGGGGCACTGAGCTAGACCCAGGGCTGACTGATCGCCTGGCGTTTCTTATCTCGCGGTGGGGAGGTATGTAATATAGCAACCGAGAAACATCTAGTGAGCCAGTCAAAATCTGGGTGCTCATCCCACGTGTCTGACACCTCGATGCCAGTGGTGCCAATTAAAAAAAAAAGTTCTCAAAACTGAACTGAGAAACACAAATGGAACAAACCAATTTTTTTTTTTTAAAAGCGGCTCTTATTCTCCAGTCAAAGGCTTAAATAAAGACTGGTTGAGAGTGAAACTTACAGGGCTTTCCTTTTAGCAGAAAATCAATACCATTTAATTTTTATCTCCCCTCCCCTTTATGAGGTCTTGATGGCTTATCACAACTACCTCCTAAACAAATACAGTTCTTTCAAGAACATACAAAGAAGAGGAGGCTATCCAACCCATTGAGCCCATTCGGTTGCTGGTAGCTTACTGACCTGATGGTGCCATCTAGCTGTTTCTTCAATGTTACAGCTGATACCCTGCGGACAACATGGTTTGGCAACTTGTTCCTGACACCCACCACCCTTTGCGTAAATAAGTGCTGCCAGTTTGCCTTTCTTCCCCACTTGTGCCCTATGTTCTTATTTTACCCCTGGGTTCTGGGTTTTTCCAGTCAATTCTGTTGGCAAAAATACAAAAAACACCAGGGAGATACTGAAAAGGGCAAGTCCTCTCAATCAATGCATGCTCAATACTGAGGAGCCTCAGTTTCTTTAACCTATGTGCATGACATTCCTGTTTGACTTGGAATCATTCTGGCTGATCCTTTTTGAAAGTGTAATAGTCTTTTTATAATATTGGGATCAAAACAGCACACGATATTCTAACCAAGGTCTGTCTAGTGCTCTGTATGACCTTTACATTACTTTTGCAATATTACATTACTTTTTCTGTTGTCTATAAGGGGGTGACAAACTGAATGCTGGGATACTTTCAAAAAGACAAACTAACCAGTAATAGAGTCCACCTCTTCAATCCTCTACAAACTCAAAAGCTCTGAATACCGGCAAGACAACTGCTTGAAAGAGAAAGACATACGTCAGACCCTGCGTCTCCATTCAGAGCCCCACGCGTTCTGACAGAACTCCACTCCCTACAGTGGAGCATTTTCCTCTCCTCACTGCTATCATTCACTTCTAAAAAACGACCGTGCTTACAAGAACTGCAAAACAACAATAAAAACGCTCCGACAGAAAACTGCAAAGTCAGGGGGAGGGGAGGTAGCCAGTTTCCTCCTCAAATAAGAAATGACTCACTTCTGGAAAGAGTGATTGTCTGAGTGCAGCCCGAACAAGGATATGTGCCATGTTTCATTGCGTCAGATCGCTCGGTCTACGACTTCTAGACTTTTTTTTTTGCATGGGGCTTTTAAGCCCACTCCCCAATCTCTTTCTCCACATTTTTGTCTTCTGTCTGTAAGCCACAAGGAACTGGATGTGCCACCTGATAAGCAAAAAGTTCAGTGACAGTACGATAGCAGAGGTGTCACTTCCTCCTTCCCATGAGAACCGAAGTCTCACCAGTACCGGTCGGCTCTCCTTCACGCACGGAGAGCCGTGCATCGTGGGACTGCACTGTAAAAGCAAAAGAAAATCTCAGCCAGGCACTCCTTTTCACACATTCAGGTGCCGACTAAACCGAGCCACAGAGGAAAAGCTCAGCAAAGCACTGCGTCAAGGTGCGTTTTGATGTGTACAACGGGCTACTTTTTGCAGACCCTAGTTGCCAGAGTTTTTAAGGCTTCGCTCATCTAAGCCAGCCTTAGGCGGATCAAGATGAGGGATGACGTGGAAGTCAAAGTCCAGCTGTCAGAAATAATGTTTCAAAATGTCTGAAGACTGAACGCACTCTAGTTCTAAAACCAAAAACGCATCACAAACGAGAGGAGGCAACTGGTTACTGAAGGGCCGGAGGACCTCATCCAGCTGTCTTTAACTGAAAGATTCCCGGGTATCGGATTCAATCACATGGCTTGTTCCAGACTCCCACACCCCTTTGTGTAAAGAAGCGGCTCTTGTTTTCAGTCTTCCACTTGATTCCCCCTAGTTTACACCTGTGCCCGCTGGTCCGTACATCACTTCTGATCCAGAAGACGTCCTCTGTGTTAACTTTGACAGCGATATCAAGGAGCTTGAGCACTAGAATCAGGTAGCCTAACTGTTCAAGGTCATAGACTAGAGGAACAGGCTGAGCCCTGTGACCCAGATGTTGCCTCTCTGAGCCCGAGCTGCACCCCTTCCCTAGCAGTCATATACTAATGGGAACAGCGCTGCTGTTATACGGCGGATCACAGCCGGCCCAGGTTGCTGAGCTCGCAGTGCACCAAAAAAACGAACAGCTCAGATAGGTGGGTATGTCAGGGGGGTGTCAGCAGACCCTCAATCTCCCTCTGCAGGGCATAGGGTGGCTATTCAACAATAACTGACGAGTCCAAATGCATTTGAAATGACCGGCTGTATGCAAGCAAGATGAGGCGTGTTTACTCGAGATGAAGCTTCACAGATTCGTGGCCTTAAAAGGGTCTGAGCTACAGAGTTGGGCTCCCTCACATCTCCCTGTTAAAACCGGGCAGGAAAAGCAACGAGCTGGATGTTGAAGAATGTTTCTCGGGGGCTGGGGTCTGGGGAGAGCCCGCCTGCAGGGGGCCTGCAAGGTGGTGGAAGAGTGGGTTTTTTTTTTTTCACTTACTGCTCATCTCCAGCTTTCTTTATCCACTCCACATCGCACTGCTCGCACGGGCCCGCCATCTCCTGCAGGGACAGCACAAGGCGAGCCGAGGTTGCGTTCCCATCCCGCCTGACGACGGCAGCCGGCGGCGGGGCCGCGCCCCCCCCGGGTCTCACCTGCTGCCTCTGCAGCTCCCCCTGCAGGCGCTCGCACTCCGCCTTCAGCTCCGCCTCCCGCCGGCACGCCCCCTGCGCCTCGTGCCGCGCCCCCTCCAGCTCCGCCTCCAGGCGCTGCAGCTTCAGGTCCGAGAGGGCGTCCAGGCTGCGGGAGCTCTGCAGCATCAGGGACGGGCAGTCGAGCACTGAGGACACACCCAGCAGCGCCACACGGCTCAGAACCCGCGCTCGAGGGAGTCACGCGGCGGCGACCACACGCGGAGATTAACCGCCTGGGCTGGGCGGCACGGCGGGGCAGTGGTTAGCTCCGCTGCCTTGCAGAGCCAGGGTCCTGGGTTCAACTGAGGATGAGGGGTGCTGTCTGTGTGGAGTTTGCATGTTCTCCCCAGGTTTGAGTAGGTTTCCTCCAGGCGCTCTGGTTTCCTCCCACAGCCCAAATAATACGCTGGCCCGGTGAATTGGCCGTGGTGTTTCTGTGTCTGGTTGTGCCCTGCGATGAAGTGGCGTCCTGTCCAGGGTGTGCCCTGCCTAGTGCCCTTTGCTTGCTGGGATAGGTCTCCTCTGCCACCTTGGATTCGATGACGTGCTTAGAAAACGGCTGTTTCCATCCCACCAAACCACTGATGAAACCTCCAACGAGCCGCAGTTCTTGTGAAAAACAAGTATGTTTTGACGTGTGCAACCCTGTTGTCACCTGAACCCATTCTGTTCCTGAGCAAATGGCTATCCCTGTCTGCACCAAGCATTTAAGACAGAGTTTTTTACACAGCGGGCAGGCAAGGCTGCTTGTCGTCAGTAAGAACTGACTGAAGTGCCTCCTTCAAAGCACTGCCACCTACTTCTGCCTGGGCTCAGTCTGTTTGCTTAAGGAGCTGACAGCGCAGCAGGGCTCAGCAGCAGAGTGCCAGCAGAACAGCACATCTTCAGACAACAAGAGAGGGCTGGGCATGACACAACTCTGCAGCTGAAGCTGCCTGCCCGAAATACCGGAGACTTGAAACATTTAAAAGAGACGGTGGACTGCTTGGGGCTCAAAACTCAAAACACCGCTCAGAGCGCACCAGAGGACAGGAGCAGGACGTGGATTGAAGGCTGAGAAGAGGAGACTCTTCTTCATGCGCAGAGTTGTGGACATAGGGCAACACTGTGGAAGCTGAGATCATTAGGTCTGTTAGCAACAAGTAACCAAACCAGCTACACAAGCTCAATGTCCCCCCTCTCATTAACAACTAATTAACTTTCGCAGTCCTTATGTTTTTAAATGAACGGGCAGGGTGTAAAAGTTCATATATTAATCTGTACAACAGTTTGTGGTGCACAGTGGCGCGGTGGATAGTTCACAGAGCCCCGGGTTCGATTCCAGGGGCGCTGTCTGCGTGTGGGTTTCCTCCAGGTGCGCTGGTGTCCACCCACAGTCCAAAGACATGCTGGAGTTAATTGGCTTGTGGGGAAAAAACTGGCCCGGGTGTGAGCATGTGCGTGTCTGCTCTGTCCTGTCCAGGGCGTCTGCTACCTGGCAGCTGTGGCTTACTGGGATAGGCTGGATGAAGGGGTTAGAAAACGGATAGGTTGGCAAGACATTTGCAACCTTTGCTCGTGCACAATAACCCTGTTATAGCAGCCTCAGTGCCCTGGGTCACTGTGGGTCAGGGGTCCAATGATTTAATAATAATAATAATAATAATAATAATAATAATTGCTTACACTTATATAGCGCTTTTCTGGACACTCCACTCAAAGCGCTTTACAGGTAATGGGGATCCCCTCCACCACCACCAATGTGCAGCCCCACCTGGATGATGCGCCAGTACTCTCCCCACACATCAGCTCTCAGTGGGGAGGAGAGCAGAGTGATGAAGCCAATTCCTAGATGGGGATTATTAGGAGGCCATAATTGGTAAGGGCCAATAGGAAATTTGGCCAGGACGCCAGGGTTACACCCCTACTCTTTTCGAGAAATGCCCTGGGATTTTTAATGACCACAGAGAGTCAGGACCTCGGTTTTCCATCTCATCTGAAGGACGGCGCCTGTTTACAGTATAGTGTCCCTGTCACCATACTGGGACATTAGGACCCACATGGACCACAGGGTGAGCGCCCCCTGCTGGCCCCACCAGCAGCAACCTTAATTTTTCCCAGGAGTTTCCCATCCAGGTACTGACCAGGCTCACACCTGCTGAGCTCCAGTGGGCTGCCAGCTGGGAGTTGCAGAGTGATATGGCTGCCGCCATATTGATGCCGATTTGAGCCGCGTGGCTCTGGCACTCCGAGGTGTGCATGAAACCGGTCCGGAACCATGTGGTGGACCAAGCTTCCGGGGAAAACTCTGACTCACTGCACCACAGCAGCAAACAGCGAAGGAGCATTGCAGCAGACAGGGGTACTGCTCCTGCTCCAAGATTTTTAGAGCCATCAGGCAGCTGTTTGGAATTTTGCAGGAGGCTGAGAGGCACCAGGAAAAGCTTCGGTCCGCAAGCTGTTGCTGGATTTGACAGCTAGCTATTCAGGATGGATCCAGAAAAGGTTTGACTTCTACGCAAGGGGAGAGGGCTGAAGTTACACAACATCCCCAGCCATTTACCTGGCTGGTGAGCTCTCTTGCACCAAGGCTGCAGGTTTAAAACCAATAACTTAAAAGGTATATAACCTGTAACCACCACAGGGTGGTTAAACACAGGGAATCCTCAGCAACATCAGACCTGCACTGCTGTCAGTACTAAGAGTATTATTACTAGTGAGATAAAAGTTGTGTTAGAAGTTGTAAGTGAATAAATTGAGCTCTAACTTGGATTGGGATTGGCAGGTTGCGGGTGTGAGAGGGTAGTAGATGCAGCCAAGATGGCATTTCCTGTCTATCTGGATCTCCCCATTCCCCAGGAAAGGCAAATTATACCATACAGAATTCAGAAGTGAAATTTGTTCCTGCTAGTTACAGCAGCTAGACAAGCTAAAAAACACCGAAACTAGAGATCAGACAACATTAAGATGCCAGGCTGCAGGGTTAATTGATTGTTTGATTAATTAATGAGCTTCTCTGAAACAAAAGCCACGAGTTACTGCAGTCAGAAAGATAGTGAGAAACTGTTTTCTACGTTCGATCTGGGAAGAACAACAGACCTCTATCAAGCAAGTGACCTGCAGATAATCAGTGCCCCCTAGTGGCTCCAGCTTTCATTGCAGCTGCAATAGTTCACAGAAAAGAGATCGACCTTATTATTCCCAAAGGGCATTGTTTTTAAATGGTATATTCTGGAAAACCACAATCCTGCAAGAGTTGCAGCATGAAACTCTTAAAGTGCTTAGAGACTTAAATCAGAAACACTTTAACTGGGTAAACTGTTTAGTTTTGTTTTTTTTCATTTTTGGAGCTTAGCTAGAACTTCACAGTGCTAGGGTGAGATATCCAGCCATTTTCTAACCACTATTTCCAGCCCGGGGTCTCAGGTGAGCCAGAGCCTATTCTGGCAAGCAACTGGCACAAGGTAAGGGAGGGAGAGACATAACTGACCAAACTGAACACACCTTTGCCAGACTTTTGCCTTGAAACAAATAAGATAGATCCCTGTACTGGCCATATACAATTTCTTGTATTAGGAATTTGTCTTTTCGCAGACCCCAGCTTGCTCGCCATGAGACACACAGACAGGGAGAGAAGCTTGGGGTCAGAGCGCAGGGTCAGCCATTTATACAGCACCCCTGGAGCAGTTGGGGTTAAGGGGCCTTGCTCAGGGGCCCAATGGAGTAGGATTCCTCTGGCCGGCCACGCGATTCGAACCAACCAGCAGTCTTCCAGCCACAGGCGCAGATCCTTAGCCATAGAGCCACTGCACCACCCCAATTGTAACCCAAAATGTAAAATGTAACCCAATTTTGACCAAACTGGCTTTGAATGCCCGGACTTTAGTTACACTGCATGTCTGGTTTTCTATTTCCCTCTGGCCAGCAAAAATGCTAACAGCCTTTGAAAGAGTGTTTAATGCAAGAGAGCTGAGGAGGTACAGGGCTGCATTATGATGTGCTGTTTCTATACCCATCCTGCACTGATAAGCCAGTGTTGCTTGAAAAACCGAAGACCAAATTCTTAGATAAAAAGAAATGATGGGAACTCTCAACCCAGCTAACAAGTACTGGAGAGATTTATACATGAAGAGGTACGGGTTCACTTAATAATATTAGGGAGGTCTATTCATTTTCGGGACAAGATGCTGGAGTTATTCGTGAGCATCGGAACACTGTGCCGCACTGACTGTCTCCCCCCAGCATTCAAGAGCAGGCCTGCGGGGATACAGAACAACTATGAAGTTCAGAGGAGTTACTCCTTCGAATCCATCTGCGCCTCGGCTGACATTTAGAGGAGAACAAACCACAGGAGCTGTGTTTGTTCTGTCAACAGCTGCTGCTCAGGGCTCTTTCTGCTCGGTGCTATAGTGCCTTGTGTTCACAAAGAGAAACGCATGCGGGGGTGTAGCGCAACAGTACAGCCAGAACCCCTGTGTAGGAAAAGGTCAGCTCGAAACAGGAGCACTGCAGCTTGCAGAGGCATATCTATGGGGAAACCGTGCGGGTTTGCTGTTGGTGCAGAGGATGAGCAGCCTGCTCTCCTTGGTCACTTTCTCTATCTTCTGGTTGCCCCGACAGGGGAATTTCGCAGAGTCAGTGCTGGTGGGAATGGGAAAATATCCCCTTACTCCCCCCACCCTCCCCCCACCACTGCAAAGGGACGAAGGGACATCCTCAAGAGGTGCCAGGAACCTGGTATACCCAGTGAAAACCTACACGAACCTCAGGTCCTCTGGTGAGAACACGCAAACTCCACACAGACAGCACACCAGGCTGGAATCAAACCCCAAGCCCTGAAGCAGTGCAGGTAGCAGTGCTGACCACCAAGCAGCCCACAGCTCAGCACCACAGACAGAAAGCGTGGTGGGAGCTGTCCATTCCCTGACACCAGAACCAGCTCGGCCTGATTAAACATGGACCTCAACCTGATGCAGAAAGCCAGATGATTCCTAAAGCATAAGGGCAATGGTTATGTTTTACAGTGAAGCCGTGTGAGCATGTTGTGTCAATGTTTTTTAGCATGGCCAAGGAATAAGCGTGAGCTAAATGTTTGCTTCCCCTGAGAAGACACTCTGCTTTATTTCCCCCTTCGGAACAGAGGCTTTTGAAGAGTCTGGTCTCTGGGCTGGGGTTACGATGCCCAGATTGTGCCAGCAGGCAGGCAGAGAGACAGAAGGAGCTGGCGAGCAGGCAGAGAGCGAGAGAGGCCCGGACAGCCAGGCAGGGGAAGGGGATAAGGGGCTCAGCCAGACTCACAGTGCGAGATGTCGGGGCTGGCGTGCAGCTGCAGGTATTGCACCTCCTTGCTGTGCAGCTGGGAGTTGAGCTTCTGCAGAGAGCCGTCCCGCTGCCTCAGCGCCGCCTCCAGGCCGCGGATCCGCTCCACGTGCTTCTCCGCCAGCGTGGTCTGGGGGCAGAGACAGAGAAGCACAGCCCCAGTGAGCAAGCCATTCCCTGCTCTCCCTCTCCCACCATCTCCAGGACCGACCACTGCACAGCACCCAGGCAGATCTGCTGGAGGAACGGCACATGACAGACCACTCTGCATCTGTGGCTGCCTCCAGGGACTTCTGAAAGAGGCTCCACATTTATGCACAGGAAGCCAAAAAAAAAACAGCAGTGCAGAGCCAAGTACAAAGAACGACAACTGTTCAGCATCTTTGTTGAATCCGATGCTTGGGAATCCTTCAAAAGGCAGCTGAACAGGACTGTGGGATCCAGCAGCTGCTGGGAATGAATTTTCTTTTTTGATCATGAGACAGCAAGGATTTGGATATGGCCAGTCCGGGACACACAACCAGAAAGCAGGCAATTCTCCGGGGAGGCCCCAGTCTCCGGAGGTTATCACAGTGCAGCTGGTCCAGAATGACCATGCACTCCAGGCCTTCAGTGGGGGATTATTTAAGGCAGCTGGAGCCCTAGAGGGCCACAGTCTGGCAAGGTCTATAGGTCTCTTTAATCAATCCTCTAGAACTTAGAAAAGGGTTTAAAATAATGCAATTAACCAATTACGTGGTCAGAAACAGTTGAGCAAAACTGACTCAGAGGTACTTCTTATACCTGCTCAGCTGCAGGGTTGGCCTCTATTCCATCTCTTTCCAGCTGTTTGACTCTCACTCACCTGTTCCGTGAATACACCTCGCCTTCCAGACACAGGACAGCTCTCTCCCTGCTGTCCTAGCCCACGGTGGACAGCCGTGCTGCCCCCCCACTCACCATCTTGTCCAGGTCCCTCTGCAGGTTGCTCTTCTCCATGTGGATCTTCTCGTAGGCCTGGATGACGTCCTCCAGCTGCTCCTCGCGCTCCTTGCTCTTCTGGAGCTGGGGACGGGGGCGGGCGAGGGGGGTGAGCGAGGGCAGAGAAGGGGGACACGAGCAAGGGGGTCCAGGAGAGACAGGGAGCGAGAGAGAGAGAGAGACGGGGGTGAAAAGGCATGGGGGCAGAGACCGGTGGGGACGTGAGAAAGGAGAGAAACGGAGCTGAGAAACAGCCTGAGAGAAAGAGAGAGCACGCAGAGATTGAGGCGGAGCCACATTTTGCATGTGTGTGAGATGATATGGAGTGAGATTCAGTGCAATTACCACCAGCATGCTGAGAGCTCTGCAGGTCTGTTACATTACAGTGGAGCATGTGGATTCCCTCTGTGCTTAATTGATTAATTGACCTTCAATTAGGTAATCAAACTGCCTGTAATAGCTCAGAGGTGAAGCAGCTTTCCAATTTACGTCACGGTAAATGCATTTAGTGCGAGACATCTGGGTTCAGATGACTGGCGCCGGGACTGAGCTCAGATGAAATCAGCCGGCGAGCTGCAGATTCCTAAAGCGCCAGGAGATGGCGGATTTTCCCGACCGTCGCCCTGGGCTCGCTGGCCAGCAGGGCCGATGTCCTGCGACTGACCCGGTCCATCGGGCCCGGGCCTGAGCGCTGAGCTCTCACCCTCTCACCTCGTGCGTCAGCTGGTTGACCTGTCGCTGCAGGCTGCCGTTCTCCGACTGCAGCAGAGCCGTCTCCTTGGATTCGAAGGAGCAGTAGGAGTTCCTCTCCTCTCCGAAGTCGCTGATGGTGGGGAACTGGGGAACAGGAGGCAGGCTGTGAGTCCAGCTGACACAGGGCTGCTTTCCTCCTTTGCGTTCGACTTCTCCAAGCTGGGTTTTGACCCTCCCCTTTGCACTCAATGCCATGCATCTCAGCACTAACTGCTTGCCACTTAGAAAACCACAAATGGACCACGTTTTCATAAATGACAAGAACACTCATGGAACGACAAACACTAAAAATTCCACTCAATACATCTGGACTGATAGAAATAATAACATTCAATCCTGCAGGCCCACTCCTTTTACGCAATTCGCCGCACTGTGAAATTTTTGTGGGGGTGCGAACTCGAGTATTTCAATGCTCACATTATTGATGAATCAGCTCCCGCAACCCAGCATGCTTGACCTTCAATATCCATCTGCGTTGCTTACATGCATTTTCATATTGAGCAGTTTATTTTAGTTAGATGTGCATCAGGGACAGCTTTCCAACAGGAGATGGATAGTACTCGGTGAGCTAACTTGAGTTGTGCACCGTGTGAAGCCACTGGAGCTCTGTCTGTACCTGTATCTTACTAATACAGTAGAGCTGGCTGAGCAATATGGAATATGGAAGCCAACGTTTTCACTAACCCCTGACCCCTGCAGATCCCCCATGCGATCCCCGCCGACCCCCTGACCTTGATCTCGTAGATCTTGAGCTTCCTCTTCAGGCTGGAGTTCTCGCGCTCTAGGCCGGCCAGCCGGGTCTTGATGTCGTGGTAGGCCGTGATGAGGGCGAAGTGCGAGGCGGAGTACACGTCGTCGGGCAGGGGGGAGCCCGGCCAGCCCACCCGGCAGCCATCCTCCTTCAGCCCCTCGCCCCCCAGCAGTCCCATCTCGCCCCCGAACAAGGACTCCATCAGGGCCCTCACTGGCAGCCTGGGGACGGAGTGGGACAGTCACGCTCACGCACACACACAGAGACAGAGAGAGATCGCCGCGCAGAAGAAACAGATTCACACAGGCCTGCCTGGATCGGAGCTGTAAGAGCACTGCGATTAAATAATAACTTCCGCTTTCAAATTCAAAGTGCTCTTCCTTCTAGGCTACATTCTGAAAAAGCCTACATGTTCAACTGCAGGGTGGCCCGCGGTGCACAGGGAGTCTGATCTTTCTCCCGGAGGTCTCCGGAGAGCTGTGGGTTCCCTGTCCCACCCGCGGGTCTCCGGGCTTGTTTATCGCGACCGGGAGGTGGTTTAACGGCCCCTGGGTCTCTGCGCGGAGCAGCTTCTCCCAGGCAGGATCCGGGAGCTCTGGGAAGGCGCTCGCTAGAGGCAGGAGCTGCTCTGGCACATCGCCTCAGCAGGAAACTGCGTGGAAGATGCGGAGCTCCAGACCGAGATATATATAGCCTTTACCCGGTCCTCTGGGACAGACGCTCACTCAGAGAGAGCTCCACATGCTCACCAGCATCGAGGGCAACGGAGGTGAGGAAGAAAATGTTTTCTGCTTCATCAACCTCCCCCCACTGCTTGTGCACAAACCGGCCAGGTGCTCTTTACTTTACTGAGGTTTTACCACAGTACGTCGAAGGCAGAAGGGAGGGGCTGAGGGGAGCAGAGAGAGACCTACAGTAGTTGAAGCGCCAGTTGAGGAAAAAAAATCCCGTTTCCCAAAACCGCCTCGGTGGCCCTTGTTCTGCCTAATCCCGCCGTGCTACAGTGTACACCCCTCCGGACACAGCCTGGCTGTCCCTAGTAACCGGGGAGCAGCACGAAGGGCAGCGAACCCCCTAAAAACACAGGGAGCTGTAGTAAAACGCACACAGTACCACTGTAAAGCACAATGCATGCAATATGCTGTGGTAAGACCAAGTGAGAGGAGAAATAGGTCACAATCTTACCAGGGTAAATTTTGATGAGGGTGTTGCATTCAATAATCAGTCTAATTAAAATAATTAATAAAATAAATAAAGAGCAGAAAACGTGGTTGAAATATCTTGGCTTTCTGCTATCCCTCTAAGTATTTTGTGGTACAAACAATGGCCGTACTCTGAATGTAGATTTTTCTGTTCTTTTTTTACTGGGCTCCGGGATAAATACTCCCACACGCAGCAGTGCTGAAACGCTGCTGATCTCTGTATAGCTGCAGGCACTGGAAGGCATTTTACCAATCTAGCACTAGGAGCAGCAAAAGGTGGAAACGAGCCCAGCGTTCGTTACCCCCAGATTTGGAAATATTACTCTCTGAGGTCCTCATTTTGTCCGCTCACAGCTCTGTAAGACAACAGATGTCAGCTGAAAACTAGACGGGCCCTGCTGGCTCCCTAACACCTGATGTCGTCCTTCCTGTGGAGCGGCCGGGCCTGGGGCCAGCACTCAGCACAGTGACAGGGCAGGCAGCAGAGAGCATGCTGGGAATGTGCCACAGGACGGCATCTCTCATGTCAGGAGAGGAGGAGAAGCTTTGCAATGAGAGAGGATCCTGCTCTGCTTGGGAAAAGAGTAAAACGTTAAAACAAAGGACGCTTTGAATAAGCTCCCCTCCGCCTTTCCTTACGGGATATTTATGGAAAATCGGATTCACAGAAAATAAACGACTTAAACGAAAATCAACCGAACATCCGTGTACATTATGCTAATGCAATGCACGGTTCAATTGTATGAATAGGGATCGGCAGTAAGTACATGCACAGGTTTTCTAATCTTCTGTTGCATAACAGTGGTCTAATTCAGATGTCAAAGAGGCAGCCTCTTTCTCCACTTCCTTTCCCCCCCTGAGGTCACTGTCACTTCTGTAATTGGAGGAGACCCAGAGATTGCTTTCTGACCGGGACAGAGACCCGACAGTCACTGCACCTGTTTTCCCTGCAGGGGGCACTAAAGACAATGTAAATAGACCAGACGGCCAGAAACGGACTCTGGCTGAATCGTTAGGGAAGCTATTAACAAACTCATTAGGAGGCGCTTTGTTCTGCCAGTGCTGGGCAATGAGATGAATGCCTGTTGAGACAGGCCGGTCGTTTTCAGACAGCCCCTGCAGCTCCCGATTAGGATGGATCTGAGAGAGGCCTGTCCACGCGCTTGTCCTGGTCTGGTCAGAAACTAGCGCCAGTGTGGAGAGGGCAGGATCAGCTGTTTTCACTCTTAACTTATCAATGCTAACATTGCATTCTCTCAGATCACTGTCTGAAAGTAGTAACTGGGTATGCATGGCAAGATCCATACTCATATGAAATCAGAGCATACACCCAAACCCAACCTAGACCCAGTCCAGGCCCAAAACCTCAGCTGACCCTAACCCTCCAGCACCCACCAGCATCCACCCACCCAACTTTATTCCTACATCCCACGCAAGTATTGTTCTGTATACCATGTTTATTAAATGAACGTTCGTATCCGTTTGAAGTACTGTGTACGATCAAGGCTAGTCATTACAGATCCCTGCGGCACAAGCGTTTGGAATCTCATTAAGCTCGCAAACGGAGCTCGGAACGACTGGGGCCCGGCGGGAGATCAAAACAACCCGATCTCATCAAAAGGAACGACAACAAGCAGAGCATTCGTGAGGATGCAGCGCAGCGGCACCCCAGGTTGCGCGGCAGATACGGGAGACACTCACCCAGTTCTGTCAGCCTCCGGAAGGCCGCTACAGCGGAAACAGCTCATCGGGGCTCTGAGGGAAGAACCCCAGAGCGAGAGCATGAGAGCAGGCTGGGCCGAATCCGGCTGAGCACAGGCGCACACAAGAGACCCAGACAAGTCTGCCACAGCAGGTCCAGAGAGATGGAGACACAGGAGAGACGTCAAGAGGCTGGAGCACAGAGTGCGAACACACTGAGGCCTCTACAGGCCGACTGTGCAGGGCTACTCTAGGTCACAGTGAGGCCAGCTAAAACGACAGGGAAACTATGGGAAGGGCACAGTGACGCACACGACGCAGTATGGTAAAGCATGAAAGAGTGCAGCAAAGTAAACGCAGTAAATCTGTGGGGAAAAGAGAAGATTGCAGATTTAAAATCTCACAGGGAGAGCATGTTTCCAGTTCCTCACATCAAAAAGCTGTACCTGTGCTCCTGAACCAGGATTTGTGCTTCGTGCTTTCATTCCAACTGAGCTCCCAGTTCTGTAATTCCCCCCTTCATTGCACTAATAATGTGATTAAACCGAGTTCTTTCGTAGTCATTTCTTAAAACATGGCCTTTCAACTGTTATTGTTGGCAATTCACAATCTCCAGCTTTGAGCAGATGGGAACCCTGCAAAAGGCTCCAATTAAGCCCCTTAGTTGAATTAATTGGGAACGCAGCTGGACGGAAAACGAGCAGGTGTGTGGATCTGGGAAGCCCAGTCTCAGACCAGCAGGCTTTTACACTGCAAGGATCACCTGGCAGCTCCGAGGCTGAGAGAAAGGGCTCCTGCATGTACACTTCTCTCCTCCGAGAGCAACCAGCTGCAGCCCTGGCCTCACCCATCACCGGGACATGATCCCAGCTAATATCCGGAGCGCTGCTGAAGCTCGGAAGCACGCTCCGAAAACCTCTTTATTGCGAGGTGCCTTATCTGGTGCCAGCTGTGACAGGAGCGAGATTTATACAGCGCTCCTGTTGTGCTGAGCACGGGCTGAGCTCGGTGCTCTAATGAATAGCACGCCAGGACTGCAGGCAGGTTTCAGTGTTAGCTTTTAGTGCATCCGAGCAGTTCGCATGAACGGACAGTGTTTGGCCACAACAACAGGTTACTTGATCGTGCAAAACACACACCGACGCCCCACCCACACCCTCCAGAAGCACAGTGTGGCACCCTATCGGATATGCACACACAACCCCTGCTGCCACAAAAAGCATCCATCTTCCTCATGCTAGCCAGGTGTGCATAACTTTATCAGTCCAAGCAATGCATAAATTCATTTCACTTTTATCTCATCTGTTGCTTTGAGGAGAGGCGCCCCAGCCCCTCACAACTGGTTCAAAACCAAAACATGGCTCTTAATGCAGTGCTGATGACCGTGCGTGTGCTGATCCATGGCTTAGGTTAACAAAACCAGTGAAGTGTCCGTGTCTGACTAGGTTTCCAAGGTCTGATCAAAGTGTCCCAAGTGTCGAACCCATGCAGCTGTATGGACGGGCTTTTCAGAGCAGTAGGAGCTGATACGCGTGTTGAAGTCCTGGGGTCTCCTTACAGCCATGCATGAAAGGCGAGGCTATGCAGGGTGCTCAGCGAGTGGGTGGTGTTCACCTGAAGAGGAGTGACTATAAAAAAGTGGCAATCAATCCATAAATATCTCGTTTTATTCCTTCCCTGCACGCTAAACCGCATAACAGCTCTTCAGGCTCCGCGCAGGGTCTATTGTCTCCCTTCTCCATCATTCTCGCCCGCGACACCCACAGACGCAAGGCTCTCCTTGGAAACGTTGTCCCCCCTCTCTACCGCAAAGCATGAATCACCGGCCCTTCTGCAGAGATTAACCCTCGGCACGCTGGAGCAGGACTGCCCTGCAGCGCTCCGTGGCCAAGCGACACGGAAACTCCGCCGCCCCCTCCGGCCCGCCAGCGACCGGCTGCTGTGGTACATCTCAGAGACACAGGGCCGCGCCGGAAAACGTTACAGATAGTCCCTTTCTGACAGCGGACATCTGTGGGGAGGAAGCAAACGGGACACTTGCTTCGGGCACACAAAACACCCACTTGTACAGCAGGGTCCTGTCTGACTGCAGTCCAGCAATCTTGAGTCTTCACGGCGGGGTCCAGCTCGTCAGTATATCACCGCCCAGAGGAGAGACAGAGCTAATCACCTCCTCCTGGTGCCCTGCCTCCTCGTTCTCACCACCGGCACGCAAACATTACAAACGCGCTGTGAGACGCCTCTACTGCTGAGGTTTTGCAAACGTTTTGGGCAAGTAAAGATGGTCGAAATTTCTTAAAACCGGCCACAGGGGTCATAAAGAAACACAACCCTCCCCACCCCTCCACCACCCCAGAGAAGGGAATTATTTGAACTCTGTATGTCTGTGTCACGTGGCAGCCTAATTTATTAATGCCAAACAGCACTTACAGTCAGCACAGCGCAGATCAGCCAGGCTGACAGACTCTAGCACTGCAGTCTCAAGTCCCTCAATTGAAAAAATTGTATTAAACGGTGACCGTCTTGATACACAACCACTCCAGCCTGACTGATACTACTCCAGACAGATGTAGCCAGGGTTTATTCACATCTGAGAAGTATACAATGGTGGATAGAGAAACATTTGAGCCAAATACGTCTCGATTAATGAAGAATCTTATTTCCCTTTCATGTGTAAGAGAACCTGCAAGAATGCTCAGGAATGACTATAATCCATCCAAGAACATTCAGAAAAAAAAGACCCAGTAAATGACATACATGTTAAGCATCTGCATATTTTGGAGCAGGGCGCAATTTCAATTCAATAAGAAGAATGAATACACAGTAAAAATAAATGATAAATATTGTCTGATGGAGGAATGGAATGCACAGAAGCCCTGTTCTCTGTGAGAAAGCATGGCTTGTCCTTGCCAAGGACATTTTCGAGGGCAGGAAAGAGGGAGGAGAAGGAAGGAGAGGGGGGAGGGGGATGGGAAGAGAGGAGAAGTGATAGTGGAAGAGGAGGAGGGCGCGGAGAGAGAGAGAGGAAGGGTCAGATTAGGAAAGGAAGGAAGAGCTGGAGTAAGATCTCGCCATGGAGGAGCAACAGCTGTCCTAATCCCAAATCGGAGAGACTCGGAGAGCGAGTCATTTTGACACACTGCAGAGCCCAGCCAGGGGGGCGACGCACTGACTTCCACACAATCAGGAGCGGAGACACAGGCAAACACAGGCCACGCTGGCAGACCAAAGAGTTCAAAGACAGGAAGGGAGGGACGGACATGGACGACAGCAGCAGCAGGTGGGCACGTGTGCATTCCGAGGTGGCAGTGGACCCAGCGCAGACCCGGCCACCTGGAGCCCAGCTTGGCTGGCACACTGTCGATGCCTATTGCTGTGAGAGAGGACTCAGCCTCACGGCTGTCGCAGCACAATCCCTAAGTAAACAACACTGTTTGAGCAATTTGTTCAGTGCTGGCCCTTCCAAGAAACGGCATCTCAAGGAGGAGACAAGGTGAATTGAGGATTCTGTGGCCTAACTTTTCAACATGAGCAATGCCAACTGGCTACCAGGGTCTTCGAGAGCCTGTTCAAATGAAATTATCCTTTGCTTTGCCAGCTTCAGATTGCCAGCTCTCCCCCCTCCCCCCAGACAAGGGGAGCAAGGCAGACAAACAAGAAATCACTACTCTCGATACTGCAAATCCTCCAAAAACTGCTAACACCTCTACTCTTTATTACAGCTAGAAATACCAAAGTTGCTTCTGCTGCTCCTGCCATTTCTCCTCTGACAATACTACTACAACACTGACATGTGTTCTATCTCAGTGTCGTAGGCATTTTCTCTGCCCGTTTCACTTCATCCCGAGTTTTAGACTCAAGCTGCAGATTTGCACCCCCTGACTGATGGCTTCCATCTGAGAGCGTCATCCAGCATTGTGACAGGAGATTCCAAGCCGTGACGGGCAGGTGGACAAGCTGGAAGTATTTCAGCACCAAGGACAGAGGCGCTGGGACAGAGCACGCAGAGCAGCTATCTGATGTTGCTCCAAGGTACTGGAAGTTTATTCTATAAAAAAAAAAAGATTCCTCTGCTTTCTCTCTCTCTTTCTCTGATCGCTGACTCAAGAGGGAAGCAAGGCGGTTTCACTGCTTGTGGTGACCGGGAGTTTCTAAGCCGGTCAGGCCAGGCTCAGGGCACATTCTTGCTCTGGTTGCAGATAGGTCACAAGCAGTGCTTTTCAACTTTGTTTGCACCCCCACTCTGGAATTGAGACCGCCAGTCCTGCACGGTGAGCAGGACGAGAGGCAGACAGGCTCCTCCAACCCGTCCCCTTGAGTGCCGTTGGTCTTTCTGGAGCACTGCAGCCTCTTCCATCAGTGCCTGACAGGAGGGCAGCAACAGCACAAGCCTTCCTGCAGTCAGGAGGCTTTGTCACGGAGATCCAAGACGTCCCCGGGCAAACTTATCCCAAACCTAAACTTTGAGTGATCCCTCGGGAACAATCAGACCTAGTCTCGAACCCACAACATCTGGGCTGATAGATCACGGAGAGCCCTTACTGGCTCTCACTTTTCAAACTGAATTCAATTCACTTCGTTTTGTCTAAGCTCAACTCAGACCAGTCAGGCTAGCAAACTGTTTCCCCGAACTGCCCCACAAGGGTAACGTTCAGGCAATGAAATTATAATTTCCGCCCGATGTATAAACACCATTGGATTCGGCTCAAGGCTACCTGTTCTAGGTTAAGAGCAAGAGCTAAAAAAAAAAGCATATCCCACGATTAGATTCCAAATGTGCTGCTCCTTCAGAAACTGATGACTAGTGCAAGTTTACAAAACGGCACCAAACCGCAATGTAACCCACGATGATGAGTATTGTGTTATTATGTAAGACAGCTGCGCTATTGGAAAACTAATAGGAACTGGATGCAATGACAGGGCTGGTGTCAACAATAAGAGGGCTGGTCAGCTCAGTAGCACTGTCCAATGCAGCTGGCTGGCACACTGAGGCTGAGCTGCTCCAGATATTCTCAGCTGTACCTGGGCAAGAAAAGTGCAGGACATGTAGGTAA